GGCGGAAGGGGACGGCCAGCGCCAGGGGTCGGCCCAGGCTCGGGCGGGGCTGCCTCCCCCTTAGTGCTGACGGAGGCCCTGGAGCCCTTCTCCAGATTTTGGTGTTAAAAGCCCCCAAACCCGAAACATAGGTAACAAGGAAAACAATTATACTACGAAATAGTTACCACACCGTGGAAATGATTTGCAACGGTCACATGCGTGCTTCCTCGTTAATGCATTAAATATACACTAAACAGGAAGACCCTCTCGACAACTGTGTCTTCAGATACTTAAACGGGAGATACTGGTCACAACTGTATTGAGACATGAAAATACCGGCGACTCCTCTTGGCGACAAAGCCACAGCTACTTCTCTTCCGACTGTAATTTGTTGCTTACATTCATACGTGAAGACTATGCTCAATTTCAGGTAAAGGTTAGAGATTTTAAAGATTTTTTTTCTCATCCAAGTTCACCAGTCCCCAAATAAAACCCAGGAAAAATGCTTAATACAGTGCCTAGGTCGGACATGGAAAGCGCCCCCCGCCCCCCAATGCCGATATTGGTAATTTTATTCTTACTTTTTTTGCGCCTGTTCAAATTTCCTTTAGGTGACCAGATGGAGTTAATCACATGAAGTACTGAGTTGAGACAAAGATAAATTATAATTCAACCCACTAATTCAGATATGTTCACCCAAAAATAAAAGGCCAACGTGAGAAGCAACAAATATTTATTTTCCGAACAGGCCCTAGCTTATGATTTCGATACCGTGCTCAGGATTCCCTCTCACTTTTCAGAGACATCAACCTGTGATTTGTGAAGACTTTCCTACCTGTTACTATTTACTGGAATAAAATTGCATAAATGGGTGAGAAAAACGGAGACGCCCGAACAGGGACTTGAACCCTGGACCCTCAGATTAAAAGTCTGATGCTCTACCGACTGAGCTATCCGGGCTCTTGTGAGAGAGCTGTTCAAAACAACTATATTTAACAGAAGTCTAAAATCGAAGAAGAAAGTCATTTTAGAATTTTTATCTGTGATTCCTGTTCAGAGCTAGTCGATCTGAAAATGCTTCTTAACACTATTAAGCACAGAAACTCAGCTACAACGAGGATTTTCTTTAAGGCAGAAGTCAACCCTATTACATTAATGCTGATGTCCCCCAAATTCTATATTTACATATATATATGAAATCTGACCAGGAAAGGGAGAGGGCTCTCCCCTAAAAGCTGACTTCTTTTCTTTATTCTTTTGTCCAAAGACAGCTGAGGCCCAGCTCGAAATCAAACCGTTTCCTCTGCCCCCTTTTCGGTGTCCAAAGTGCCTTGGAAAAAGTGATTTAATCGACCCGCTAAAGCACAGCATCGGATCGGCTTCCCTTTGAAAGTTCTCTGCTGGGGCCTAAGGGTGGAATATTTGAGCTATTTCTCCGGGAAGCCCAGGAACTGGCAGTTCCTGATGCACTGAATTCTGTGCAGTCCCGTATGTATTTATAAGCACTATGTATACATCTATTATAGCGTATATCCTGGGCTTTTTCCAAGGCACTTTGGACACCGAAAAAGGGACAGAGGAGAGGAAACGGTTTGATTGAGAGGAAACGGTGCTGGGCCTCAGCTGTCTTTGGACAAAAGATTAAAGAAAAGAAGTCAGCTTTTAGGGGAGAGCCCTCTCCTTTTCCTGGTCAGATTTCAGGCACTTCGCTCTAGCTCTGTGTGTCTAGGTTAAACGCTGACGAAAGTCCTAGGACTGCGAGGCTTCCTCCACTTGGAATACTGATAAATGTTTCATCAACCATTTCAAGGTTTTTATGAATAAATGAAGAATAATTTAACTGTAACATTTAGAAAATCCTGGAATTGCTGAGGGGAAAAATCGAATTTTAAAAGTTGGGGAGAACAATAAAGAGCTCGTTGCCAGGG